TGCTTAGTTACAGAATCCGCGTGTAACATTCCGTTTTGGCGATGTAATTACGATACTTTCCGCAACAAAAACGAAGCGAGTTTTGTTACATCCAGATGTATGTATATTTTATCTTTTTTTTTCAAAAAAGAGTTTTTTAATGAGCTAAATGATAGCTGTGAAGTAGCATCACCACCTCGTCGTAAACACTGCTACTCGCTGATCGTGAAGGTGTTCTTCTCCAACTAGAAACGACTTTTAATTGTTTTTTTTTTTGAAATTTTCAGAAATAGATTTTTTTAATGAATTTCTTAATTGGCATTTTATGGAAAATGCCCTTACTTTTTATTTTCAGTGAAAAAATTATTGAAAATTTTCGCTTTATGCGTTCTCTTTGTTTTTTTTTTTCCATTCTAATCAAACGCACCGCACTTGTTCCAAAAAAAATATGTTCATGTGACCCATCTTTCGAAGATTTAGTGGTTCAGTTTAGCACTTTTTTTTCTTTCAGATACTTCGACGTATCGAGTTGCGTGGCTCTCCACTGCACTGGGATATGGGAATATCTTCAATCAAAGGCATTCTATCTTTATACGATAATGTCTACGAATTGAACGTATGCTGTCTTTTTTGGTCAAGTATTCAAAAAACGAGAATACGCTTGCATTCTTTTTTACTCTTTCTTCGATTGCCCTATAGTTTCAGAATAAAATATAAAAGTTGTTTAATAGTCCATATTTTCAGCCTGATCCGGCAACAAAAGAAAAATGCGAGCTAGAACCTTGCTTTGGAAAACTGGATCCGGAGAAGTTTTCTGGGGCATTAGCAAAAGTAATTTTCGCTCTTGAGTTTTTGATAAGTTAATTTGAAAATTAAACTTATCCTTTTTGTCTCACGTGTCTTTTTTTTTATCCCTAGCACTCTTCATTTTTACATTTCACTATCTATAAAAAACAAAAACACGCCAAAATAAGTGAACTTTGACAAAAGTCTGTATTTAATGCCACCTTACCGAAGGAATTGCCTAATAAAAAAAAGTTATGCATTATTTTGATGCAGTAGTGATCCTTCATTTGTTTTGAAAATTTATCTTTGTTTTTTTTTTTCAGAAGAATTTAGAATTTTCTCGCGAAGATATTGATGGGAAAACGCTTTTTACGCTGGTCAGTTCTTTTAAATTTTTCAGGAAATTAAAAAGCATAATTTGTCTTTGTACACGAAATGACATGAATTTTTCAGATTAGTATTAATTGGATTTATGTTATAAATTTCTAAATTTGGCACTTTTCGAGATTTTAGTTTTAAGTAAAAATTATGTTTCCAGAAAACTCTTGGTGCTACGGTGCGTCTTGAGAAAGGAGGTCTGCGAACAGTAATGAATTGCACGAATCCTGAAAATCGTCGATTATTAGCGGAAACAATCGCAGTTTGCTTGAAAAAATTATGAAATCGGATTGATTACTTTGGGTTTTACGTTCAAGTTTGTCAGTCGTATCATTCCGATAGTGGATTTAGGAGAGTGAAATGGAGGGACAGGTTGGAGTTTGAGTGTTAGAATCGGCTTTTACTAGTACAGCCTCCTACCCGCCATGTACTGAGCAGTCATGTAACTAATTTGCAAGACGTAAGCTCAGGATCAGAGGGCTGAGGTACATCCGACATGTAAGTGCCACTTTATCGCTAACGCTAGCAGTGGATCCCTACAGAATTTGTTCGGATAGTTTTTGCAGTAGTATTGTTTGAATTAATCCTGATGTAAATCCTTTCTGCATTAATATTGTACATACATGTTTGCTTTGTTATATTTGAGAACTAA